CACCCAATGCATCTGCGGTACTCCACAGAAAACTTTTGAAATATCTGTTTTTTTGTTAAAATTGTCTGTTTGGTTAAAATGGGTTGTTTGGTAAAAATGGGTGTGGACGATATTTTGAAGATACAACGACCTAGTGTCGAAGTTTTAACTTTAAAAGCCGTGAGTTTTAAAATTGAATCTTTTAGAAAATTTAATAAAAAATCTAAAATGTATGAAGGGTTCCGCAAAATCGGATAAAATGTATTTGATGACATGAAATCAACGAAGTTAAAACATTTCCCTTGAAATTAGTGTGAACAATTTAAATGATTAAACAATTAAATAAACAGAATAAAAGAAAGACAAAATTAAAATTCTAAAATTACTAAATCAAATATAAACTAAACTAATTTCAAAGTTACTAAATTAAAATTCTTAAATTATTAATTTGAACCTAAACTAAATCAAAATTTTAAATTTATCCAAATATTTCTAAACTAACTAAAACAAAACCAAATTTATTAAATTAAATCAAGACAAATAAACATTCTAAAAATTACTGAATCAAATATAAAATAAACAAAATTCTAAAAGTTTAAACTAAATCTAAACCAATTAAACATTTCTAAGTTTACTAAATTAAATATAAATCAAATAAAAATTCTAAAATAATTAAACTAAATCTAAATTAAATAAAAATTATAAAGTTATTAAATTAAATCTAAATCAAATTAAAATTCTAAAGTTATTAAGTTAAATCTAGATCAAATTAAAATTCTAAAAGTTTAAAATTACTAAATTAAATATAAACTAAATAGAATTTAAACCAAATAAAATCTAAACTAAATAAAAATTGTGAAATTCTACAATTACAAAATTAAATCTAAATCAGATAAAATTTTAAAGTTACTAATTATGATTCTAAATTAATCAAATGTTTTAAAGTTATAAAATAAATATAAACTAATTAAAGAATTTTAAATTAATACTAATTTAAGACTAAACTAAATTAATTATAAGATTTACCAATATTATTTTTTGGGAAATAAGGTTAAAGAGTTAACAAAAACGAAATAGAAATACTTTGGGAACCCGGGTCTTTTAGATTACAACAGACTTGTGTTGCCAACAGAACTGTGTTATTTAACTGTTATTACTATGATTCTATTAATAAATAAGGGAAAACATGATGAGTGATTGGGCCAACAAGCCCAATGGACTGACCCGGTTAAAAGAAGAACAAGGGAAAGTTTTTTTTGAAACCCTAGACCAGATAGAGAGGCGTCGTTTGGTTGTTTAATGGGGAAGGGACAAATCAAATTCAATCATTATTACTGCCAGTAAAATCTATTCCCAATTCCTTATCGTGAAACAAACTAAAACACTCTGCTTCATCTTCCCTAACCTTCATCCTTATTGCAACCTCTTCATCATGCTTCTCAAGAATTAAGTAAACAATCTCGTAGTGGCACAATAGTTCAGCATTCATATCAGTTTCCACTTCAAGTGCCAACGATTCGTATCATCTTCAAACTCCGGAAGAAGTTTACCATCTTCCCCAACTTTCTTCTTTTAAGAAGAATAGATTCAGGGAAGAATCCAGTGACTTCGCCCAATTTAGGTACAAAGCTATGGCTATCTTCTTTATTAACTTTCTTAGTAGCATTGGTAACCGATGATAATGATCTGGCTTTATTCTGAATAGAAAGTTGCGCTGAAGATGAAAATGAAGAAGAAAAGTAACTTATGGAACAAGATGTGAAGTTGAATCAAAGAGAATTTGCCATGATAGCGGTTTTTTGGAGGTTTGGTTAAGAGATAAGAACCCTAGAAGAGTGCCTCCATAGCGAGAGAGAGAGAGAGGGCGGAAAATCAGCGGCAGCTGGGAGTTTGCGAGAGGAGTAAAAACAGATTGAAGGAATGAAGCTCATAGATAGAGTTGAGATTTTCAGTATGTTTTCTGTGAGTATTTCCTGAGAAACTTTGTGGTTGTGTATTCAGGATCTACTTTAAGTTTCTTATGAATTCTTTTTTACTGTATTTCTTTGTTTTTCCTATCTTTGGGATTTTTATCTTAACTAATTTTTCTCTGTTTCTGTCAGGCACAGAAAAAGAAAACAATAACGGCGCTTAAGAGTAGCTTTCTAGCCCTCTTGCGTTTTGACTCCTGCGCCGATTCAGAAATTAAAAAAAATACAATTATTCAATACGGTTCAGCTTCAAGATTTTCAGCTCAGATTTTGCGACAATAGTATGGTTCAGATTCAACAATATCAACAACAACGTCAACAACAGTATCACGGTTTCACGAGTATGAATACAAGTCAAAGATTAATATGTTAAATGAATACATATTATACAGAGGAATAGGAAAGAAACGGAACCTGAATTTAGAGCAGAGACAAATAGAAAACCAAAGGGGAGGTAACATGTTTCCCTATCATTCTTTCTGAGTTTTCCCCTACTGCATTGTTATATGGTGTTTTGTTGCAGGATTGAGAGTTTGTTGAAAGTTGCTTATGTGACTACATGTTGAGTGGATGTCGAATCTGCAGATGGTTGACGAAGAGTTGTTGACAGTTAGATTCAAATTACCGCAGTTGCGTTTTTGAATCTCGCAAGTTCTGGAAATTAGTTGTGGAGGAGAACTCCTCTTTTTCTGGTTTTACTTTATGCTGATTCTCTATCTGATGTTTTTTTGAATATTCACTCTGAGAATAAGAAACTAATAGTTAGTTAATCGTTTCTTCTATTCGAGTTTTTTTTGAAACTGGCGCTGGGTATCTTTGAAACAGGGACGTGAACTGGTATATCAATCATTTTTGGTGTTTATTGACTATGCAATATAGGGCGGGATTTTATTTGTGACAAGTTGGATTTTTTTTTTCTTTTCCTGATGAAGTTTTTTTTTTCTTTGTATGTTGTCATCTTCCCTTTATAATAGAACTAGTGTGTTTTTTTTGGGGGAAAACTGGATAGGATTAAACATATATGGCTAACTGTTTTATGCCTTTCTGGTGCAGGTTTTTTGTATATGACATTTTGTGTGCAATTTTGATGTGTTTTTGGACTGTTTATGCACTTGTACACAGCATGGTGCAGCAGGTTGGTGGAGCATAATTATAGCAGTTTTTGGACTGAATTGTCTGGACTATTTGTTTGTTTTATTGCTGCAGGTTATGTAGAGGCAGCATTATACATGATATTGGTTTGGCATATGGTGCAAGACTTTTGGCATAAGTGATTTTGAAGATTTGAAACAAAGTGTTTAGGACTTTAGTATAGGATTAGAATTTAGAATTTGGTTCCATGTTCTTGTAACAAACTTTGAAATGTATCTTTAAATTGTTCCTTTGTAACATAAATTGATGGAACTTGAAGTTTGTTTGAAAACTTGGATGATGAACATTGAATTAGAATTGAATCTTTAAGTTTTGAGTAAATTCTTTCAGATATGAAATACTTGATACAAACCACTTATTGAAAAGAACCTTGAATTTAAAATGATGATGAATTGAATTATATATGGTTCAAATTTGTCCACATGAATGAAGTTTGATTTTGAAAGCGGATATTTCAATCGTGATTAGCTTTAAAATCTAAAAATGATGAATGCAGTTGAAACTTTGAATCAATTTGAAACTAAAGTCATTTCTCGAGTGAACCTTCAAATCATCTCCGATGAGACCCTAATTCAAACCTTCAATTCAATGGTAACTTGAGATACAAGCGCAAAGTACTTGAAAGAGCAAATAATTCATTAAGAACATTGGTCAAAAATCCACTCTAATCCAATAATCACCAATGCTTCAAACACCAATGACTTGAACTAATCAGCAAATGACCAAGAATCCTCGCACTCAATATTTTGTACCATGAACTATCTCAACATAAAAACAAATGTCTTGAGGAAACGATTAAGGCATGAACTGAATTTAGGAGTTAAGAACATTCCAAATAAAAATGTGACCTATAATGTTCCAATAAATCGTATAGCCTTTAAAGCATAATTTGATTCTGATAATTGATGAAAACTTGTTGATGACATCGCTTATGACAATGTGCAAAAAGAATCGTCTCGAAATGTTGAAATTTGAGGAAGTTGTGATCCTTTGAACTTGATCTTGAAAAGAGTTAACTTTTGGCCGAAGTGCTTTAAATCGTCTCACATAGCCTTATATTTTCTTGCATTCCAAGATGCATTGAAGCACATGTGAACCAGTGATGATGAAATCTTGTTTGTGCTCTGAGGAAGTCGTGGAGAAGCTTGAGACCACTTGTCGAACAAGGCATGGAAATAAACACACGATCCTCTGAAGTTCCAAAAGACATATTTGATCAAAATGAGATTGAATGATGTTTGAGACTCCATGCTCTGAGATTAGAGGTAGTTCCTTGATGAATCAGTCTTCGAGAATCCGACTCAAAACTCTAATTGAGGTGCGACGCCTGATGCTCTTGATTCAGACATGTCTCTGCACATGAAACAAAAGAAAACACGAACATACACCTTTGTATGTGATCAGAAGTTAGTGATACATAGGCTAAAAATATTCAAAACACTTGACAATCTCTGTATAGTCCATGCTCGAAGGTGAGAGGTTAAAACCAACCTTATTTCGTGACCTTGGCTTTTTGTGTAAAATGCAAAAATGAAAATGGGATCTTAGGTCAAAAATTGGGATATGACACCTATGAGACGAACCAAACCAAAACATATTGGCCATTATGTGAAAATGAAGAACACTAATATTATAAGAGAGTGAAGAGTGTAGAGTGAAGATAGTGAAGAGTGATTGTGTGAAATTTGAGGTGATAATGTTGGGTTTTTATAGGGAAAATAATGGGAAAAGTGATGAGAGGTGGTTGGATATTAATTGAAAATTTTAATTAGAAATAGTAAACACATTAAATGACACAGTTGAATAATAATTATGTTGGTACACTACAACATTAAATAACATAGTTTAATAGTAATTGTGTTGGTACACTGCAACATTAAATTACACAGTTGAATAACATTATTGCGAATATTGTATATAACAGGGTTTCTTACACAATGGTAAGACTTCATCGACTAATCTACTAAATCTAACATACATCTTAAATGGTATCTTATTAACACCAATACGAAAATCTTCAAACATTTTAAATACATCTGCATTTGTATCTAACTTTATAATGTCATGCATCAACCCCCCATTTTCATTGATAATAGTGCAGTTGAAAGATATATCGATAACATTTCTACTAATACCTGTGACTTGGCGCAATTGATTTTTCAAGTGATTGAGTTTCGACCTTTCCATAAGTCGTACAAATAAAGGATCACAAAATGCATTTCGATAATTAGTCATTGCAACTGATAATTATACGGAATAATATATAGAGAGCAAGGTATCAGAGCCATTTTGATGTGATATCTGCTTTGTTTCCTGTTGATTTTATAGATGGAATGCATGCAGCTGCACAACATCTACTTGCTCCATTTAAAATGGAGAAAGTCTCCATGATTGTCCCCTTGCGCCATTTCAAATGGCAAAACATGCATATGCATGTCCTCTTGCGACATTTCAAATGGTGACAACATGAATACATATGTCCTCTTGCGCCATTTCAAATGGAGACAACATGCATAAGACTGTCCTTTTGTGTCACGTGATCTTCTTGGAGATGGTGAGCATATTATATACCAATACAAAGAGGTGTATGGACCATACAACAAAGAATACTACTTCAAACAATGTCATAGAGTAAAATTGCTTGTCTCATTCATTACAATGGTAATATATTTCCCGATAATGATATTGGGGTAGTTTTCCAAAATACAGATACAAGGATGTTAAATATTCATTGAAACACTGATTTAGCCCAGTTGACGAAAAAATAGAAGAAAAATTGCAACAACATTTAACTTCTATTTTTATCGATATCCAATAGTTAATCCACTTGATAGTAATGTCACTTACAACACTAAACAAATCGAAGATGATGAAGATGTTTGTTCAATGCTAAAATGCTACTCTAGACTTGGCAGTCGACATACAATGGAGTTGTATGTTGGTTTCCAAGAGGCGCGTGAAGTATATCCCACACAATCGCCCCAAACACATCAATATCGACTAAGCCGGACCTCCCTGCAAGAAGAGCCAATCGAAACACATCATAATAAGCCATTGTTTTCCGAAGAGGATGTTGGCGATGATAGCGACTCTAACAATATGAGACAACTTGATTTGTTTAGTGATGGGTCGGGTGATAATGACATACACGAATCAGACCTGGCTCATATACTTGATCTATACAACCCATCGTATCACCTTAGAAATGTTTCCTTTGAATGTGTTGAACCCATTTCAGTCTTTGAAACCATAGACGAAGGTGATTCACGTGGAGGCTTAGAGGTTGGTATGGAGTTTGAAAGAAAAGAAGTTTATCTCCATGCAATCCATCTATGGCACATAAAGAACAATTATGATTATGAAGATTATAAGTCTGATAAGAAACGGTATTTGATTAATTGTAAGATTGAAGGATGCAATTTCACATGCAGGGAATCCTTAAGAGGGGGAGTGATCAATGGGTTATTGGAAGGATTGGTGGACAAGACACATGTATGTTGTCTGCTATATCTCAGGATCACCGAAAGCTTAACTAAAAAATGATCTCCCAGAGCATCAGAGCTCTTGTCAAAAGTGATGTTGCAAGCAAGGTAAAATATATTATCGCCCACATTCGTACGACTCACAACTACACCATATCTTACAAAAAGGCATGGATTACAAAGAACAAAGCAATTGAAGCTATTTACAGTAATTTGGAGGCCTCATACAATGCCCTACCGCAATGGTTGATGGTCATGCAAGAGTTTTTTCCTGGAACTGTAATAAAACTTGAAACACTCCCTGTATATTCAAATGAAGGAACACAAATTACTGGTGCAAGAATTTTCCATCACCTATTTTGGGCCTTTCAACCTTGTATTAGGGGTTTCGCATATTGCAAACCAATAGTCTAGGTAGATGGAACATGGCTATATGAAAAATATAGGGGCACATTGCTTCTGGTTGTTGCACAAGATGAGAATGGTAACATTTTTTCAATTGCCTTTGCATTGGTTGAAGATGAGACGGGAGGGGCTTGGAGTTTCTTTCTGAAAAATTTGAGACTACACGTCACACCCCAGTCAGATATATGTTTGATATCTTACCGAAATGAGTCCATAAAGAGTGCCTACAATAATTCGGACAATGGATAACAAAACCCTTCACTAGTACATGTGTATTGCATCAGGCACATCCACAAAACTTTATGCGAGCGATCAAGGATAAAGACCTTCGCAAGAAAGTTGTAAACATGGGTAACTTACTCTCTATTTTTTACATTTACAATTCGACTATTAAATATATAGTTCTTTTATACTAATGTTTTTAATACATTTACGCAAGGTATGCATTGAATGAGTCTACATACGCATACTATCGGGAGGAGATCCGCCAAACAAACACGAAAGCTTTCAACTGGGTAGAGAATCTTCCAAAATAAAAATGGTCGCGAGCTTACGACGGAGGAGCACGATGGGGCCCCATGACAATGAACCTTGCTGAATCATTGAACTCAGTGCTGAAAGAAACCCGTAAATTACCTATTACAACGCTAGTAAGAGTAACATACTTCAAGATTGGAACACTGTTTGGGAAGCAAAGACATGACTGAACAAAAATGTTGTCATCGAGGAATGAATTCACAAATAACTGCATGAAAGGGATTGCAGAAGAAGTAGAAAAATCCCACAATTATAATGTCTTGACATTTAATCGTGAAAGACACTGCTTTGTGGTCTAAGAGACGGTTCATAATAATGATGGTCGGCCACTTAGTTATTTCAACATCGACCTCCAAAAACGAACATAAACATCAACATTCCACAAAGTTTGTGGCACGGGAAAATCATTAACAAACATTTTTACCTCAAATAAAATGGCAAGTGTTGGATCTGGATGAAGCCTGAGCCAAAGTTATTCTAATACCTATTTGTTGTGATTTTGATTTCTTACGTTCCATAATCATGGTGGAGAAGTCCCGTTTCACCGATTTCTTGCAATTCAAACCATGAGACAGAACATCAATAACATTATTTTCGACACAACTAATTGATATTGAAAGAAAAAAAATATAAAACCAGAGTTCAAGGAAAGGATTTGTCACCGAAGTGAAGATGCGTTGAAGAAGAAGGTTGTTGAAAACATACGAGATATGTTGGAAATCCACCAATACTTTATGATGAATTTCGACCACCACTGATGATTAGTTATGAGACAAACAAAGAAAAGACAATAGAGATATTTCTGCAGAGTTTCTCTCTGCCCACAAACTGTGGAAATTTTATTATTCACTTTGCAACTGCAAAATACTGTGAATGACTTAATTACAAAATAGGGGTTACTCCCTCTACTTATAGATTTAGGTTAGCCTGCTCCCTAAGCTAAAACCCAAGCCCAAAATATCTTTTTACTAAATCAATTCTAATCAAATCTATTCTAGACTTAAATTCAAATCTATTTAAATCTAAAACAAAATCAAATCTAATTTTGACACATATGAATTACAATTTAACACACCACCTAATTCATTGTGTCTAAACTGTCTATGTTCATCATGGCCCTTAGCTTTCTGAATAATTCGACTTGCACTCCCTTTGTCACGATGTCTGCAATCTGATTCTCAGTTCTGCAGTGTTCTAAATTCATGTTCCCGTCTGCTACCTGCTCTCGAAGATAATGGAACCTTATTTCGATGTGCTTACTTCGACCATGTGCTATTGGGTTCTTCGCCAGATTAATAGCTGACATGCTGTCTATCTTCATGGTAATTGCTCCATGATTTTTCCCTGTTATCTCTTCGACCAAGCTCATCATCTAAGTTGCTTGACATGCACAAAGAGAAGCAGCTATGTATTCTGCTTCACATGATGATAATGCCACTATTGGTTCCTTTCTTGAATTCCAAGCAATTGGTGCACCACCTAGCATAAACACATATCCTGTTGTTGACTTTCGATCTTCAGCATCACTACACCAACTCGAATCAGTGTATCCCACTAACTTGCATTCTTTTCCTTTATCAACTGCAGGAAACAAAATGCCATAATCGAAAGTTCCTTTGAGATACCTTAGTATCCTCTTCACTGCTGCTAGATGTGATACCTTTGGCTTCTGCATGAATCTACTTACCATACCTACATTGTATGCTAAGTCAGGCCTTGTATGACAAAGATATCTTAATGATCCAATAAGTCTTCTGTATTGGGTTGGATCAACATCATCTTTATCTGCATCTTTTGACAATTGCAGTCTTGGTTCTGCATGTGTCGAAGTTGAGTTGCATTCTTCCATCTCAAACCTCTTGAGAATTTCTCCTGCATATCTTCTTTGATGCATCATCAAACCTCTACTGCTCTTGTAGAATTCGATACCAAGGAAATATGAAATCTCACCCAAATCAGACATTTCGAATTCCTTGCTGAGATCACCTTTGAAGTCTTCGATCTCACTCTTGCAGCTACCTGTTATCAACAAATCATCTACATAGAGGCATAGTATAAGCAATTTACTCTTGCTTCTTCTTACATATACTCCATGTTCAGTTATGCACTTCATAAATTCCTTTTCCCTTAGAAAACTATCAATTTTCTTATTCCAAGCCCTTGGAGCTTGTTTCAATCCATACAGGGCTTTATGTAGCCTGTACACATTTCTTTCTTCGTCATGTTTCACAAACCCAACTGGTTGTTTAACATAGACTTCTTCATCTAAGGGTCCATTTAGGAATGCACACTTCACGTCCATCTGACATATGTGCAAACTGTTGATTTCTGCTAGACCAACAACCAGCCTGATTGTTTCGATCCTAGCAACAGGTGCAAAGACTTCGTCGAAGTCTATTCCTTCTTTCTGTAGAAATACTTTCGCCACAAGTCTTGCTTTGTTTCGAGTTACTTCACCTTTCGAATTCGTCTTCACTTTGTATACCCACTTGACATTAATTGCCTTCTTGCCTTGAGGCAATTCGATAAGTGACCAAGTATTGTTGTCTTCGATAGACTTTACTTCTTCGTTCATTGCTTTCACCCACTTCGAATCCTTTAATGCTTCAGCTGCATTAACAGGTTCAACATCTGCATAGAAAGCATAATGTACCAGCTCACCTTCATCATCTATTACATCATATGATGTAATCACACAATCTTGCAATCTTGCAGGCATGCGTCTTGTTCTTTGAGGCCTGCTTGTACTTGGTATATCTGCTGGTTCTTCTTGTCGAACTTCTCTTTTGACTTGAGTTTCTGGCTCTTCGA